AAAAAAAAAAAAAAAAGAAAAGAAATTTTATCATTTATTAATAAAAATTACTATCTTTTAAAAGTCCCAAGCTTTTCATATACTGCATCTTTTGGTGTTATATATCAGATACTGTTCTGCTTGTAAAGACAATATAGTTTTCCATATTTTACAAAAGAAGGAATGGGAGAAAGGAGTTTAATTAAACTGTCCTAGTCACACAGTAAGTCACACAGTAAGAAGGCTGGGTACCCAAACAACTGGCTCGAGTACCCAACCACTTACTTTCTGTGCTTTATTTGTCTTTACGTGGCAGCACCATTCTGCAGAAATCTTACAGTTTTTTTTTTTTTTTTTTTTTTTTTTTTTTCACTTAAAAATTAAAACCCTATTTACTGCCACCTCTTGACTTTTTGCCATGTCTTGTGCTGTACATACCCTTCTAATGAAGATAATTGGTCTGTTCTTTTTCTCTTCGAATCGGGGTCTTGCTCTTTTGCCAGGCTGGAGTACAGTGGTGTTGCAATCATGGCTTACCACAGCCCAAACTCCTATTCCCAAGCGATCCTCCTGCCTCAGCCTCTTGAGCAGCTGGGACTACAGGTGTGCATCACCATGCCCAGCTAAGTTTTCCCTTCTCTTCCCTCCCCTCCCTTCCCCTTCTTGGTGGAGCTTCACTCTTGTCACCCAGGCTGGAGTGCAGTGATGTGATCTCAGCTTACTGCAGCCTCTACCTTCCAGGTTCAAGTGATTCTCCTGCCTCATCCTCCTGAGTAGCTGGGATTACAGGCACACGCCCCCAGGCCCAACTATTTTTTTTGTTTGTTTGTTTGTTTTTTGTATTTTTAGTAGAGATGGGGTTTCACCATATTGGCCGGGCTGGTCTCAAATTCCTCTCCTGAGATGATCCATTCGCCTTGGCCTCACAAAGTTTTGGGATTACAGGTGTGAGCCATCATGCCTGGCCCATCATACATCATTATGTTTTTTGGGGTTTTTTTTGTATTTTTAGTAGAGACAGGCTTTCATCATGTTGGCCAGGATGGTCTTGGTCTCCTGACTTTGTGATCCACCTGCCTCAGCCTCCTAAAATGCTGGGATCACAGGTGTGAGCCACTGTGCCTGGTCTGTCTTTTTGTCCAAATTTCCAAGTGGGTCTGGGCTTAGTTTCCAAAATTTAGACCAGATGAGTGGTTTTATTAACTCTGCCCATCCTCTAGCTTAATATGCAGAAAAGCTGAAGTAGATGTATATATTTGGGATAATTAGCAGAAAAATAAATACTCTTCTTCCCAATCTGTAGGAAAAATTGATACTATTTATCCTGTTATCTGGTATCTCTTCCTACTCATACCAGAATACTAGAAGACAACCTCTAATTTGGAAAATATCTTAGTTCGAAGTTTTACATTAAAATTTTAAAGTTCCTATAATTACCTCAAAAGTATATTATTGGTTTTTCTTGAGGAATCTATACTATCTTCAAAGAATGGTGGACAGCTAAATTAAGGAAAAAGTCATTGCCATTACTTTAAAGTCTTTTCCCACCTGTACTCAGGTATCAATGGCAATGCCCTGATGCCCCCCAGTAAAGAAATTTGTTGAAATATTTTCTAAGCTTCTTTGTGGCTGCTGATAAAAATCCTTTAACCCAACATTATTACTCTAAGGCTTAATTGCCATATTTATATTCCCATGGTAGGGTGTTTGGAGATAGTATTTGAACTCTTTTGCTGGTGTTAAAAATGCTTAATGAGGCCGGGCGCGGTGGATCACGAGGTCAAGAGATCAAGACCATCCTGGTCAACATGGTGAAACCCCGTCTCTACTAAAAATACAAAAAATTAGCTGGGCATGGTGGCGTGTGCCTGTAATCGCAGCTACTCAGGAGGCTGAGGCAGGAGAATTGCCTGAACCCAGGAGGCGGAGGTTGCGGTGAGCCGAGATCGCGCCATTGCACTCCAGCCTGGGTAACATGAGTGAAACTCG